TTATTAGTTCTAGTTGTGGAAATTACACACTTTTGGTGTAATACTTTATTTTCATATTTATTTGTAAATTGTGTAGATTAGGACTTTTCTGAGCTAAACAGGTCAAAGATCATCTAAAGGATCAAGATTGAACCTCAAAAGATCAAGGAAAGTGCAAGGAGGCAAAAAAGATTTCTATTTGGATAAGATATTCTTATACCCGGTCGGGTATAAGCAATAACCGATCGGGTATTCGCTTGATTTGATTGTCCAAATCAAATCCGAGGACAAATGAACGTGGGAGCAAGATTTCGTAAAAGATTTGTCACATACCCGATCGGGTATGCCAACATACCTGGTCGGGTATGCCTAGAAAAGTGACTTTCTGGGAATTTTCTAAGATACTTGATCAGGTATCCTATATACCCGGTCGGGTATCAAACCCTGCAACTCTCAAAAGCCTATAAATACACCCCTTTCCTTCACAATAAAATCACCAACTCACATATACTTCTTAGCTTAGTTTAGACAAGCTCTTTCTTTATATTTTCTTCATGTTTAGTCTCCAACTGAGGAGCTAAACTCTTCCATCTTGGTTTTGCTACTTTGAAGCTTAATGAATTTGTATGTTGTGAGTTATTTTATTTAATCTTCTTCCTTGAATATTAATTATTTCCTATTCATATTCCATATTAATATTTTGAGCATTACTTAACAGATCAACTAGTTTTGTTTCATATATTAATTATCACTAGAGTCAATCGATTAATACGCTTGTTATTAATTCGGTTCATTCATGGTAGTACACTTGGATTATTAATGCATGCGTCTCATGGTTAATAATCTAAGGAGAATTAATTATGTTGATTAAACCAATAAACCGCTTGTGTTCAGGTTATAAATCTCAATCGTTTTCATCTTGATTTTTTTGTTACTGTCGAGTTGATATACAGTGCGTGTTCTATATAAACTTTGTAGTAAGTTTTATTAATGAACACGTCTCGTTATTAATAACTACCCTCGATGAATTGGATATACTCATCGATTGAGTATTCGAGAGGAAGATAGTTAAAGATATAACCAGGATCGACGAACATTTCATTAAGTGGATAAAAGAAAAACCAAGTCTCCATCTCTATTAATTAAACTCATATAGGTTTTTCATCTTAGTATTATTAAATCAAATCAAAACCCCCCTTGTTACTAGTTACGTAAAAGAAAAGTATTCCTTTTCCTGTGGATACGAACCTTACTTCAATATACTACGTATATTTGTTGTATTGTATTTATTCGGGGTGCACACTACGCTAAAGTGCACGTCAAATTTGGCGCCGTTGCCGGAGAAAGGCAATTATTTTTCTTTTTATTTTTTTTTAAAAAAAATTAAAAAAGAATATAAACAAATTACTTTTCTATTTTCTGAGCTTACATGAGTAATGGATACCAACACATCATCGCTAGAGAGTCAAATTTCTAGCTTGACTTTTTTAGTAAAGGAGTTTCTCTTATGCTCAAAAGTTCAAGATACAAAGGCCTGCAACATTTGCATGTCACAAAGGCATCTTACGAATTTTTGCCCAAAGCTTCAAGAAGAATACTTTGAACAGAGTAATGATGTTGGTTTCCAAGAGAGGTATGATTCATTCTCCAACACATATAACCTATACTCAAGTTCTTATTCCAGCATGTCCCTTGAAGACATGATCCGAGCTCTCACTATCAATGTGACAAAAATGCAACAAGATATGTCACAATACCCGCAAGAAACGATGCTCAAAGAACTGAACTTGGAGAATAAATTGAAACAAGTGCCAAACATTGTGAAGCACATTGGCGAGGAGGAAGAAGAAGGGGAGCTTACGGAGGAAGCTCAACCAGAGGAGGAGAAACCTCAAAACTCAACTCCACCACCGGCCATTCCTGAGATCATGCCACCATTCCCTGAGCCTCTAAGGGAAATACAAAGAGTGGAGAAGGACAAAGACCTTTACGAAATCTTCTGCAATTGTGAGTATCATTTAGATTTCTCTTCGTTCACAAATATGCAGGGGATAACGGTGGAGTTGCACAAACATTTCATACTCCCTCTTATACCACTTGGATCAAAACCCCTTTCATTTACCATGCTGAGTGAAAATCATGGACCCTCACTCTCACCGTATGAAGCAATAGAAATCCGGATATTTGATCCCGGAAATATTTTCAAAATAAAGGGTCGACAAATTGAACCTTTCTATAAGATGCACCCGGGTGAAAATGTGAAAAAGATGGATCATCACGATCCAAATTTTAAAGATTGAACACAATGATATCGTTGTGCCGCGACGTTAAATGAGGCGCTTCTCGGGAGGCAACCCATGTAAGGTACACTTACTTTTATCTTCCTTTATCTTAATAAAAGTCTTCACTTTTCAAAAAAACGAAAAAAAATATAAGCCCAGGGCGAAGTACCCGATCGGGTCTCCCACGCCACCCGGTCGGGTATAAGCTAAAATGAGAATCCGGGCTCGTTGCTCGATCGGATATAAGCGGTTTTTTCAAAAAAATCAACATACCCGATCGGGTATGACCCTTGCCCGGTCGGGTATTTTTTTCTAATTAACTACGGCGTCAAAAGCCCGATCGAGTACACAAAAAAAAGATTTCATACCCGATCGGGTGTATAGCCATACCCAATCGGGTAATGGGGATTTTAAACCAAAATCAAACACCCGAATCTCCATCTACATCTCACCCAAATTTCAATCTCTTGCTCAATCCACATGACCAAACACACCAAACTCTAGATTCCAAACAACCTCAAATTCCCCATTCCTTTGAGCCGAATTTAATTGAAAAACCCCAATTTTTGTTTTCATCTCTCCACTAACCTTAAATCTCTGAGATGTGAGGATAAGGATTGTGTGTGGAGTTAGGATGGGTTGGTAAGGAGTATTTAATTTAGTGAATTAGTGTGGAATATTAGTGGCAGACAGATTTTCATCATTGTTTACTGACGGTTATTAATGGCGAACTATCCGCCACTAAATACCGGCGGATACAGCGCCCCCATTAAATTCCGACACTAAATACCGGCGGACTTATTTCCGCCATAAACATCCGTCACTGATTAGAGAAACTCTTGTAGTGCTAAACCGTTCCAAATTGATTTGTAAAGTCAATATTTTTTGATGACTCAATGTTAATGTAATTAAGTCCTCCCTAATGATAATTAATACAATTTTTAATAGTTAAAATTTACATATTTACAAACCACATTAAAATCTTTTTAAAGATGCAAAATCCAAATTAGGATATACGAAGTGCTTTTTTTAAGGCCAAATTAGAATATAATAAAAACGTTCAAAAAATTGGCATTGTTTGGTTAGCATGAAATGGTACCGTCCAGTTTGAAAATGGACCGTACCGAACGTGTTTTGGTCTAAGACCGAACCAAACCGAATCGAACCGAAATGTTTCAATAGTTCGGCAACATATTGGACCGGATTGGACCGCGCCCACCCCTACATAAAAGAGCCTTTCTTGCTACGTTATTTCTGTCGGCACAACAACCTAGAAGACTAATTTAACTCACTTTCATATGAAAACTTAATCGTCGTTATACGTTCAAATTAAACCAAATCATACATCAAACCAGTTTGCTAAATTGACTGAATTGACCGAATTAATATGTTAAATCCGTTTTCTAAAACTTAATCGTCAAATATTAATGTTATACGTTTAAATTAAACCAAATCATAAATCAACCCCATTTGCTAAATTGATTGAATTGGCGAATTGACCGAATTATTAAAAAACATTAAAATACATTTTACTAATAAAATGGGGGAAAAAATACATATAAAATAACTAAAATGTTTTTCTAAGTAACTTTAGTCAATTCAATCAAAAAAGGAATTTCAACCTTATTCATTTCGATTATTACACAATTTAGTACGCGAAATAAAAAATTACGTGTTTAGAAAATATTACATGGGTAGAGGGTGAAGGACTGAGCAAGGGAGAAGACAGATCGGCGGTCCGCCCCCTCCTGAACCGCCACGTTGGAGCGATCGAGATGCTAGGGTTTGGAAAATTTATCAGTTCTTTATTTTTTTATGGTTTTATTTTCACGTTTTTTATGTTGCTCTGTGTTTTGTTGGTTAGCGATTCGTATTACTCTTTCAGGGGTGATCGTCTCTGAGTCTAGACGTAGGGTTGAGAGTGCTAGTTGGTTAGGGTTGGTCTTTTTGAGTTTGTTGTGACAATTCTTTTTCTGTGATTTTAATATAAAGCGGTTTGTTTTGATGATAAAAAAATTGACTAGTAATAAGACTTATATGGTGAAATTCAGGACTGCCAAAGAGGCTGTTAGAATTATCATTTATATAAAAACATAACAAGTGAAATGCAATTGATTCGTGAATAATATAAAAGACACGTTAATATAATATCAAAATGTGTCACCATTTGTAGTAGGACGGCGGGAGAACAACTATAAAGGCGGTTTTACTTCGATCGAGGCCGTAGTGTAAACTAGAGATGACAATTTCGACAGACCCGTTGGATACCCGTACCGAACCGATTTGGTCAAACTGTGGAAAACCGGTTTGACTGGGAAACGAGTATGGGGCGGGGAATACCCGATTTTTTAAATGGATACACACTACAAGAAAGTTGCACTTTTCCTACAAATGGTATTGGTATGCAAAGATAATTTTTTGTATTCTAAGATCTTTCCATACAACATTTATTTGTGGTGTGATTTGTGACGCAAACCTTGTGGGCAAAGGTTTTAGGCTACAAATTTTAGAATTTTCTATGCTAAAATATATGAAGACAAATCTTTAGCACACAAATAAAATTCTTTGGCTTAGGTCTTTTGTAACAAATATATTTGTGGCAAAAAGGTATTTACACCAACAATATTTTTTGTAGGGAAACCTTTAACAACACAAACGTCACAGGATAACATGCGAATGTAAAAACTATACTTTTGCATTCAAAAGTTAATTTGCATAAATATAGCGATTCAAATCATATTCTTGCACCAACAAGTACATATATTTTAATAGAATGACTAGACCAATATATATATATACATACACACATATATGAAGTAGCAGGTACACAACAAAACATTAGATGCTCTGATCTTCATTCTTTCATAATGAAACACAAAAGTAACATCTTAAAAAGTATTGAGTTAGTTTACAATAAAGTAATCTAATATCACCAAAATAACCACTCCTGGCCAAGATTATCCTAATCAAGATCATATGATTCATCTTCAAGCTCATCATCAACATCAACTGATAATGCCGTAAAAGGTGGTAGAATGAAGCCCGGAACATTACTATACGACTGTTGTAGAGAAGTGTGCCATGCCTCCAGTGTTGAGTTGAACTGATTTCCCATAACCTTCAATTTTTTATGTAACCTTTTCTATGTCTCTAACCGAGCCATGTCAGCAGCTTTTCTTGCAGCACGTTCAACGGCTAACTCATTCTCCATATGCTTTTGTTTTAAATTGGTATCCCGAAGACGCCAATCTCCTAATCCACGAATTCACCGCCCGGGCATTACACCTAGAACGGAAACCATAATATCAAGTCCTGCATCCGGATTATCAACATGTACCTCTTCTAAAGGAGTATCCTCAGGAAGTTGCTTCTCTCTTATCACATCCAAGAGATATTCATCTGTTTTTTCTAGCATTTCATCCTATAAAAGATATAGATAATGTTAATTCATACCAACGTAATATAATAAATACTTCGTAGCTTTTTCACCGATAAGACTAGTTCTTGTATATTAAAATAAATGGTCAAACTCTGACATATGTGGTTACTTATAGGATAGTGTACATATGCAAGTAGCATCATTCACAATGGTAATACACAAATATATAACTCTTGCCTAAGTATACTTCTAGCACAACTTTTCAGAAATAAATGAAAAAATAGTCACATTATATACACTACTGAATGTTTACTACATTGTTTCAAGCAGCTCAAACAAATACATTCTTTGGCATGCTCTCCGGCTATACAAGTTGCATTATATTGTTTATCATGAAATAAAAAAAAGTTGTAAAAAAACAGAGTATCTTACATGTTGAGCCTTAGCTTCGCCACTCTTCCAAGACTTATATTTTCCAGTGTAGGTATATTCAAATGTGTCAACTTCTGGAAATTTAGAACTGCCCTTGAAGCACAAAACAAAATCTTAATTACTTCATATGAAAATCTTAAGATGTTTGAAAGACAATAAGTATTTATGTAACTTAATTACCGCTGCCATTTCCTCTACAATGTATGCAATGGGACGAGAACCTGTGCGGTGATTGTGTTTTTTCTTAGAACGGTTGCTTGTGTTTGCTGTGGAGGATTTCTATACAGAATAGGTTTTCATTAGAGCATGAACAGCTCATGTAATCATAAATAATGAATATTATAAAAATGTAATATACCATAAATTTTTCAGAAATGAAATGATTGCACAACTTGGTCCACTCATCTGGACTTCTATCTTGCATCCCTGGAGGGGGTGTTTTGAGTGCGTTGTCAAGTGTTTTGCATGACTTGAAATATCTACTCAGTTCAGCCTTGAACTCTATGTACCTTCCAACATAAAGCCCGGAGATATAATCTTTCATTTCCTTCTCTTGTAGATCCACATCAAAGTTTGTCTAATATGGTGTTAAATGGGACAACAAGCATATTTAGAATACAACAATAACTACTGATAAAGTTTATTTGTTAGATTTAAGACAATTATACTTACAGTTATTTCATCTATGAGGTCAGTCCTCGAGTTAGAAGAAATCGTACTCCAATACCCTGTATCCATTGGGCAATGTGTCCTCACAATAGCTCCAATGTCATGAACCAGTAGACTATGCATCTTCGCACTAGTTGCACGTCTAGTCACTCTATTGTATACAACTTTAAGTCTTTGTCTTGTGGTCCGCACCATACGTGAAGTCTTAATCTGTTTGCATGGTCCTCGTGTTGGAACCTCACTAGTGGTCCTTGGTGAGGAGATACAATCTATCATACCAATCAAAAGAAAGCTTCGGATATAAGTTCTGTCTTATAATATACTCAATTATATTAAAGAATAACCCACAATGACCATGAAACAAAAATATATCATTGGCTTCACCACTTAATGCTTCATCATTATCTCTCTGTCCAGGAATATTGTTGTTTTGTGGTGAAACTATAAAACATCACAGTTTTGTTAAGATAACATACGTAAAGCTCATAACTCTTAGGGTTTATCAACTAAATATATAAAGCTTGCATGTTGCAAAGATGGAAAGTCAAGGTCTGAGAAGGATAAATGGATAATTACTAGCTCTAGAAAAACTGTTGGAACGTGAAGTGGCATGTGGGATCTTACTTTTAGGAGTAGAACTAGTTGGAATATTTGCTCTTAGAAAAGATGAGTTCGACTTCGTCCTAACTTCTTGAGTGGGAAACATGAAGTTGTTGATGGATTGATTTCTCTTAGGCAGGGCCGATCCCGAGAAAACGGAGGCCCTGTGCAACAATAAAATTTGGGCCTTTTTTGAAGTTTAAACGCAAGCAAATTGTCTTACAATACAAGTTACTAATAAACGTACTAATTAAAATGAAAAAACAAATCAGTCTCTATCACATTTCTCTCCATTAGGCAAACTTCTAGTGTAAAAAGCTGATGAGAATCTTCTAGAGAATTTATCTTTAGGCCCTTCCACAAAATTTAAATCTCTTTTAGGACCATTCTCTACCAAAGTGTCTGTCAACTTTGAATCTAGAACATCCCAGTTTCTTGGATCATATATGTCAAATAAAGCAGAATTATTTGGCCTATCATCTAAAACATCAATTTTGTGGTCCTCTTTATCAGAATTCAACATTATTTTCAACATTCACTTCTTGTTGTTCACCCTCTTGAACATCTCTAACTTCTTTAATAATAAACTTATCAAGAGCTCTTTTTTGAGATTGGGTTAACTCCTCAAGTCTTCTTTTCCTTTGACGCTTTTCATGACCGGATTGGTATTTATATGGAAACATAATTATTACCAATTATTGAAATTCTCCTATAATCCTGTACATGTTTATAAATTTTAAATTAATATTAAGTTTAAAATTAATATAATTTTATAAAAATTATAATTTATCAACCTCAAGTTACCAATTTATCAACCTGAAGTTATCAGTTTTAATTGCTAAACACATTTACAAAATTACACATTTATTATCAATTCAAATAATGATTTACTTTAAATGCAAAAAATCAACAAATAACAACAACACAACAATTCAACAAACATTAAATCAGAAAATAAACAAAATTACAAGATTTCAACAAACAATTCATCAATTCAAATATTCAATAAATTGAAAGTTCACAAGAATTAGCAAATTAGCAACTAAATGAATAAAAGAATTAGCAAATTAGTAACTGACCGGAAGGAGGGCGTCTGAGGGAGGCCGGAGGGCGGCGGAGGCGGTCGGCTGAAGTCAGCGTGTCGGACTGCGCGCGAGTCGTGGAGAGCAGCCGAGCAGGAGAGGGCCTCGTGACTCGTGTCGGACTGCGTTGACCGAATTAATAAGTTAAACCCGTTTGTTGAAACTTAATCGTGGTATATTAATAAGTTATTCAAATTAAACAAAATCATAAATCAAACACATTTGCTAAATTGATTGAATTGGCTGAATTGTCCGAATTATTCAAAAACATTAAAAAAATTACTAATAAAATAGAGAAAAAAATACATATATAAAATTACGTGTTTAGAAAAAAATTGACTAGTAAAAAAGACTTATAAGGTTGTTAGAATTATCATTGATATATGTTAGACATGTGACTTTTTGGTTTTTGGCAGAAATGTATTTCACAATGTGATGTAATGATAGACCATGTTTAATGATGACATTTAATGAAATGGAAAGGGTTGACTAACCAAGGTAGTTCTATTCAATAAATATTTATATTAATATAGTAATATTCTACTTATTATAATATTATAATATATTATCATATATAGTATTAAAACCGTTTGTATGATATATATTGTTTAAAATGTTTGATCAAATAAGTTTAAAGTGTGTGTGGCAGTTAGTTTGTAGTGCATATCATATTAATATTATACGATAGTACTAATTATATTATACGAATTATAATAGTAATGAAATAATAACAATATATTCAATACTAGATACTAATTTCAATGTTTACTCAAGACAATTTGAAGTGTATGTGGCAGTGTGTTTGTAGTGCATATCATGCTAATGGTATACTAATTATAATAATATTGTACTAATAATACAAAATACTCATTGGTGTACTAATACCAGTAACTAGTGTAGGTATGACACTCATAGGTGTTTGCAGGATAAAATGGTTTTAAATGCATGAATGAGGAGAGAAAATTATTTTAAATCATGTACAACTACACTTATAATATTCTAGGTATTGATTCTCATATACTATGTCAAAAAGCATGCAAATTCCTACAAATTTCATTTCCATTTCACTGCTTGGGGTTAAGTCCATTTCATTTTTGTAATCACAGCTCTTCAATGAAGAGGATCACCAAAAGCACAATAATCATCGTAAACGAAGTCTTCAGGACTTGACTAACCAAGGTAGTTCTATTAATATTGTAATATATTATACTACTATTATGGTAATTATAATAATACTATACTAATTATAATATATACTATTAAAACAGTTTGTATGATAGATATTGTTTAAATGTTTCCTCAAAAGACTTTAAAGTGTATGTGGCAGTTATCATACTAAAGTTTTACTAATTATAATATTAATTCAATATTTATTATATATTATAAATATTATAATATATTATAACATAACACTATATATAATATTCAAACCGTGCGTATTATAGATATAGTTTAAAATGTTTGCTGAAAACACTTTGAAGTGTATTGAAGTGTATTTGGCAGTTTGTTTGTAGTGTACATCATTAAAATATATAATATATATAATATAATATATATATATATAATATACTATATAGGTTAAAATGTTTGCTCAAAACACTTTGAAGGATATGTAGTTCATATCATACTAATATTATAGTAATTCTGATTATATGGGACAGATTGTTATATATTATTATATATACTATTATATTAGTTTACATCATTATAATATATAATAATATATAATATATATAATATATACTATATAGGTTAAAATGTTTGCTCAAAACACTTTGAAGGATATGTACTTCATATCATACTAATATTATAGTAATTCTGATTATATGGGACAGATTGTTATATATTATTATATATACTATTAAAACAGTTTGTATGATAGATAAATAGTTTAAAAAATACACGATGGTATAGTATCTACAAGATGGTATCGTATATTGTATACATGTGTGATAATACCCATAGCACTATACAAAAGTAGAATAGATTTAACATATACTCAGTAGTATTTGGGCCATTATTGTTATATATTTTATATTATTATATATACTATTAAAACAGTTTGTATGATAGATAAATAGTTTAAAAAATACAGGATTGTATAGTATCTACAAGATGGTATAGTATATTGTATACATGTGTGATAATACTCATAGCACTATACAAAAATAGAATATATTTAACATATACTCAGTAGTATTTGGGCCATTATTTTATATAGTTACGCACGTTTATAGTTACCCATAGCACTATACAAAAATAGAATATATTTAACATATACTCAGTGTAATCGTCAATATAATGTATGACAAATTACTCATTTACTGTGACATCTCAATATTCAAAGATAACAGTCTTTATTTGTCACAAAATAATTAATTTACCGACACCAAAATATAAACCAAATTCATGTTCATCGGTGATCAATCCCAGATCTGATATTTCAACAGATCTGGTCAAGAAATGATATCTGATGAGATTTTTTTATCCTCAAGCGGTACAGAAATGAAAAGATTTATAAATCTGGGTAAATAATTTCAAAATCGCTACGTCAACATACTCATATGCATCAGTATATGTTATGCATTCCCAAAAAAACATGATTCGTCTAAACAAATAAAAACAAACTCGAAGAAATGAAATGAATGAACATCATTACAGATTAAAAATGTAGTGTTCGCGAAGATGAATACTTAAAGAAAAGTCGAGGACAAAATTTACCAAACATTAACTACAATCAGCCGCTAAGGGTGTCGGACGATATGCGGAATACACGGACGGCTACAACCGCTACTAAACATCACGGCTAGACAGGCAAACGAAAATGTAGACCACCGGAACAGTATAATTAGAGTAGGTGGAAAGTTCTGGAGACCATCGGTCAATGCGAGTAACCGATGAGTCTCCAACAATGTGTTAGCGTCGTTAGCAGGGATTATATATGCGGGGCTTGGATCGGGTAGGTTTATGTTAAGCATTGGTCTAGGCCGAGTAGGTTTAGTATAACTCTTGGGCTGGGTCCGATGAAATAAATAATGGATACTTTTATTTAATATGGTTGTTGGGTTGGGTAGGATTACTTATTAATAAATGACTGAGATTGGATCTAATTGTAAGTATAAATTGTTGGGCCTAATTCTTGGAGTGGTTATTTGTTTATTTATTTCATGAATAATCTTTTTTAATAATAATTGTTAATTGTTAATAATTGTTAGGTAATTAATTATTAATTAATTGTTGACAAAGAAAATTATATCTTCTAATTTATGAAGTGTACGAAATATGGATTTATATATATATATATATATATATATATATATATGTATGTATATATACATGTATATGCTACGTCTTATTTAAATGAAATGTTTTTTGTTTGTAATTATAATTTATAATTTATAATAATTTATAATCAGAAATCAATGCATTTGACTTTTTTGGTTTTATTGAGCAGAAAACGTTGACTGTAGGGTCGATACTCAGCATCCTTCCCGACTGGTGAGAGTGGGTTCCGGTTCTAAATGCACAAGAAAAATTGCAAACGAAGGAATCTCTAACATTTTAGCAGACCGAACAAATGGTATTTAGCGTCTTGGTTGATTTTGTATTTGTTCCTATAAATTTTGTCGTATTATAAATGCTGGGTTTTAAAATAAAGTATATTTATGAGTTGCATATGTCGTAATTGGCTACGCTTGGGTGTCCAATTGAAGTTGTTTAGTATGATCGTCTGGTATTGTTCTGTTGTTTAGATGTAAATTTTAATTTTAATTTTAATTTTAATTTTAAAATTTAATATCTAAAAAATAAATTTTAAATTTTAAATTTTTAATAAATTTTAAATTTTAAATTTATAAATTAAATTTTAAATTTATAAAAATTAAATTTTAAAAATTGAAATTTTAAATTTATACAAGTTATAAATTTAATTTTAAATTTTAATTTCTTATATTAAAATAGTGAAAATATATCTACACAAACATGTATGTATGGAGTATAAATGTGGTAGAGACCAAACTTTGAAAGATGTAACATAAGTACTCCAAGCATGCATATGTTATTAAAATGCCTCAATTTTATATAAAAAGTTATATGTCAAATGTAGTTATATGTAATTAGCAATTAATATTTTTTTGAAAGGTTTTCAATGAGGAACGTTGTAATGTAATATAAATAGTGAATTTAATATGCATGGATTATATTATACGGAGTATTAATTATTTTATCCTCTTAATTCAATATAATGTAGATATATGTGATCACGCCAAATGTGATCACGCCAAATGTGAAGGACATATCCGACATTTGTGGAATGGAACGTGTTGTTGCTATTCCTGACACTAAGGATGAATTTCCTTCAGAAATAAATGTTGGTGAAGGTGAGAAAATAAGGCGATGAATTTGTGCACGCATGGTAATGACTTAATACTTACTATTGTGTTAGATTTGTAGATATAACCAGCGGCGAATATTGGGACCTTGGTGATATAAGTTATAATTGTGAACATTGCGGGGCATTGTTTTGGTACGATGAAAGAACGTTGCGAAGTTCTACTAAAACAAGGCCTGCGGGTATTCTGTATGTTGCGCCCAAGGGAAGATCAAACTAGCACCTCAGAAAGACCCTCCAAAAGAATTGTGTGATTTGATAAATGACTGATGTGAGTTTTCTCGCACTTAAATTAGATTGTAATATAGTGGTGTAAGTACGAGTATCGTCTCCACAGGGACGGGCAACAGGGAATCAAAGATTAACTAAATTCAGAGATTAAAAAGCAATAAATAAAAATGCGTCGTGCGAGATTGGTTGATGGAAAATAAAAATGCGAATATAACGATTAAACTAGGGGTTCTTTCTAATTAATGATGAAGTGAACAGGGATTGATTCCGGGGTAACCAGATTTCTGGCAGATCAGGACTAATTACATGAAATTAATCCAATTGAGCCTAGCTAATCATTACTAAGTTCTTACTGCTCTCGCGGCGTAGAGTACAATCATTTAGGGGACCAGGCTGATCTCTCATGCGATAGGATCCTAAACTACTGTCAAGACGAGCGAGCTTACGGCCCCTTAATCACTACTAATCTCTTAACAAACGATTAAGTGTGTGTGAATGTGTCCT